GGGGTTTTTAAGAGGAGGTTAGATGAACACCTTGCTGGGGTCGTTTGACCCCAGTACTCTTTCCTGCCATGGCAGGGGGTCGGACTAGATGATCTACTCAGGTCCCTTCCAACCCTAGAAACTATGAAACTATGAAACTATGACACTGGGTCCCTGGGACCCAATCCCAGCATGCAGAGCATGGGAGGGTGTGATGCCAGGCGCCTGGGACCCAATCCCAGTGTGTAGGTGGTGGAAGAGGATGGTGGTGGGCCCCAGGGCCCAATCCAGCCTGAAGACAGGCACCATGCCAATCACCTGGCCCAGAGGACCAAAAGGTAAAGCACCACTGTGCTAGACTGTATATAGCTTGTTCTCTTGGTACTCTGCTCTCTCGGATAATGGGGCTGAGAAATTGAAAGAAGCTGAGGTCTTGAGTGCTATCAAGGACTAGAGTCAAAGAGATACAATAGGCTGGACCCATGTAGCAAGGGTAACAGCAAACTCCCAGTGCTTCGCTCAAAGACCTAGGATGAAGACTGTCCACGTAGCAAGGGTAACAGCAAATTCCCAGTGCTTCACTTGAAGGGCTAGGATGTAGACTGCCCCCAATGGCTGCCTATGGCTTTTAAGCATAATTGTGCCATTAGTTCTCAAATTAACAGCTTTTTTCACCTTGAACAGTGCTTGAAGAAAACAAATAGTATATTCTGCACTGCTATATTCCCAAATCATGCCTGTCAGGTATCCCAACTCTGATAAATAACTAGCACAAGCTAGCAATGAACAGCACAAAACTCATCTTGAACTCTTGCAAATGGATATTGTCTACACTATGAGGAAAGAAGCGATATGCCATGGTTTCTCCAAAGCTCAGTATACTGGGCTTTAGTGCAAAATGACCGCTCATAGTGAATATGCTGTTTTACCAGAAAGAGATCCTTTGGATGGGGTTATCATCTGTGTACTCCATAGGAACCACTTCAAAGGGTTCATCTTGCCTATTCTCAGGGTCTTTCTGTTGGTCATTTGAGGAGAATGAACAATGGTAAAGGAACCCAGAGTCATAGCCGCCCTGAAGAAAACAAGAGTCATAAGGAAATGGTGTTATTGTCTCCACGTTTTACACATTTTCACACATTAAAAGAGAAAGACTAATTACCAAGGAGAGCCAGAATTTCCCTGGTGCTGAATAAAACCCACAGAGGATGGGGCTGGGCTCGTCTGGGGTGTAGAGGGGTGGCAGTGGCTCCTCTTTTTCAGGCTCTTCTTCTGGTTCTTCTTCTACCTCCTTTCCCATCTCCTCTTGTTTCTTTATCCACTCAAGCCTTGCCTTCTCCTTCTCCTGTTTCTTTTTCTCTCTACGCTCTGTCTCCTCTTCTCTCTATTACAGAAAAGCATAGACACAAAACAATGTGAAACGAGTGCACACCACAAGTCACTGACTGACCGGCTCTCATGATGAAAAAGTTAGAAACTAGCAAATTAGAGTAATATTTTCCCTTGCAACTGAACAAATATAATCCATACATCACTTGAGGCTGCAGTGGGAATCCCCTTAATTTCTTCCTCCTCTTATATTTGTTTCAAGGGGCTTGTGAAACAGCAATCACTCTTCACTGGAGCCCATCTATATGCAGCCTCCTCCAAGCAAATTAAACCCTGTATTAGCCAGAGAGGTGGCTTGACCAGGATAAGAGGTTCTCTTCAATTCGGTGATGGGGTGCCCCACTTCCACAGTGCTTCATCTAGAACCTGTCCTCTCTTTGCCCAAGAGGACAAAAGACCAAAATGAAGACTTACACCAAGGGTTGACCTTTTCCTCACCATGGGCCACTCTTTGCAAATGGGCTGGCACTATGGGTTGCCCATCCCCTGCTTTTCCCCAGCTGTTCCTGTTCTGGGCACAGGGGCTGATCTCTTCCTTTTCCGCTGCAAACTGGGGCTGGATCCAATCTCTTTGCGAGCCATGTCCAGCCTGTGAGCCATAGGTTGCCAACCTCTGACTTCCACCCACATGGCAGGGCACAGTTTGTGCTCAACCATTTGAGGTGAGAAGAAAGCAGCTGTAATGACCTTCCTTGCTCTGAATACTGAAATGAAGACTGCTGTCCTCAGCAAGATAGATACAACCATTAATATATTTTCATTACAGCTTAGCACAAATATAATCCTAAAAGGGTTTTTTTCCAGAAAAAAAAATATTAGCCATATAAGAAACCAAAGAATTTTCTCCCTTCTGAGTATTCAATTTCTCCTGATTATGATGAGTGCTGAGGTTCTGCCTAATCTTTAATAATATGGCAGCATTCAAAATATCAAAAGTAGTCTACATGGAAAGGACTGACAAGAGTGGTCAAGAAGTGTTAATCACTCAAGAGGTAGCTCTAGGCTGGTAGACTAAACACCTTGTCTAAGGATCAGGTAATTGGAGGTCACTTTTTAAGATAATCACTGGCCTAAATCTGACCTTCATAAAATTCACCACTGGTGAACATGGACAGAATTCTCATGATATCAAAGGAACTTCTGCAAATACATAAAATATATTTCTAGAACATAATAAAAAGCATCAGAAAAATATAACTGTTGAAAAATAATGTGTTTTCATATTTGGTTAAAATGGGACCAAACAGATGTTTATGAAACACTCTGAAAGAATTTCCTTTCAGAACAAGAGCATAGAGAAGCAAGCTCTCCAGAATTTTTTTCTGAAATATATAAAAATAGATATATACATAGATAGTTTAAAACAGATATGCTGTATTATCGTAATTCTTCTATCACTAGTGTAAGCTTCTAATATGCAAGCAGTATAAACTCTATGGCATTTCTCAATGGGACATGTTTTGATTCCAGTGAATTAATGACAACATTCAATTGTCAAGTGATGAAGCAAAGCTGTAAGTGGACTAGACCTAGTTGTCCTTTATGAGAAGATTAGCTAGCCCCCTATGTTTAGCACTCCAGAAAACAACTTGAGCCTGAGTGGTTTTGCACTGTGAAGACACTGATAGCTGGGAGCTAAGAGTGTAATTCCCCATAGGAGTGTCCTTTACCTTGATTCGGGATTTAATGCTGCAGAAGTGAAAATACCGTCTGGGCAGGTCTTTGATCTGATAGGTGGATACTGTGTCCTGTTCCCCAAGCATGGGACCAAGGACCTCGAGAGCAAAGCCGTTCTCGCAGAGCACAAGCAGCATGCTCTGTGCCTGTACAACAGCACATAAAAAACAAGCATGAGACAGGGGAACTAGGAAATGGGAGAAAATAAAGCTAAAGACCAGAAGCTGCTAAGCTGTACAGTTAAACCAGCCAATGTTTGTTTTAATTGCATGCTTCCTCAATCAAAAATGCCTCTGCTAGAAATCAAGTAATTTTTTTATACAACATATTGCTGGCAAAGCTAATTGCTAATTGATGTAGACCAGGTGATGTAGATGTAGACTTGTCCAACTGCATGGACCATAGGCCCTGGAGTCCTGCCCAGTGCTCACCATGTGAGCAGCCCAGCTTTCCCCATCCCAACTTCCCTCCTATACAGGAAACATGAGCAGCCCAGCTCTTCTCCTGTGCATACCTCAAACAAAGGATGGGCAGCTGGGACTGCAGGCTACAAATACAACACAAGCAGCCAGGGTCTTCTGGCTGCTCATGCAGCATGAGCAACTTGGCCTCCCTCTTGCCAGCCTAATCCCTCTTTTGCCATATGAGCAGCATGGCTCTCCCCCCTGCTGTATGTGCAGTGACCTCCCAATAACCCACCCCCAGGAGCAGGGACAGGAACCAGAAGCCAGAGGAGGGAGGAGAAGCCTGGAGACTCCAAGTGCTCCAACAACAGGAGCAAAGGGGGGTTAGGTGGCTGGGTGCCTCATCTTAACCCCTCAGACTGCCCTGCTATAGACAATACAAATATACTTCTAGAATGGTTTAGGTTGGGAGTGGAGCAATGATATTTTGCAAGTCTTGTCTTTTGTAAGAGATGAGACTGAACCAGAAGCTCAGATCCAGGGTTTGGGTTGGATAAGCACTTGAAAATTCAAAGGCTGTCTCTGTCCTCTGCAAATCTCTTTTGTCTTTAAAATTAGGCTAGAAATCTTGCAAAACACACTTCCATTTTGTTTTAACATGACTTCTAGTCTAACACAGTCTAACATTCATTTGAATGTATACATTCATATGACTATCAAATACCAAAAGTTGCTGGTATATCTAAAGTCATTGTCACTGTTTCTCTATCCCTAAAACAAAATAAATGATAAGCTATACTTTAATTGGCATGATTTTAAGGCAGAGATTTTTTATGCACTGTTGCTTAGTCTACAATATGGGGATGCTGCCTCCTTAATAATGGAGATGGAGCCCTCTGGTACAGACACAGCTCTGTTAATTAAAGCTTTTCTGCTGTGAAAGTTACCCCAGTTCCCTCAAACAACAGAGCTCTGCCAGCAGAAGTCTAGAGACTGCATAGGATACGGAGTCTGTTTAACAGCACCTTTCATCCCAAAGCAGCATGAAGCTAAGAGTTCTCTCCATTATCTGCACTACATTGCTGAGATGATGACTCTTGATCCCTGAAATCAGCAGTTCCCAAGCTCATTCACAGATCACCAGTGTTCTGCAGAGTAAGCTCAGTCCCTCTTTCCCAATTAAGTTTCATGATAAGATGGATTGTGACAAATTCTGAAGGTTGACAGCAATCCATTGGTTCATATAATTTGATAACCACTGCTTAAAATAATACAGGATCTGTCATATTTATAGGCGTTGAAATGTTTCCAAAATAAGATCCAAGCACTACTCACATGAGATGGTGGAGACCACTGTAATGCCTGCACAGGCCCAGGAACATCAATGAACCCAATTGGCTCATATTTGTCTTCAACAGTGAAAAAGAAGACTGTTTTGTCTTTACTCTGAGAAAAAGAAGAGAGATACCACAAACTCTTTAGAGAATCAACAAATCTTTCATCAACTTACATGCTTGAAATCCTCCATGGCTGCAAATATTTTTCAAGACAGTGAAAGACCACAACAGAATTGTTTTAATACTATGAATTTCTATTTGAAATCTCCAGGTTTATCCTGTGAATATCTTTATAAACCTAACAGTGTTAACATTGCATGGCACCCCATGGCACCGTTGAAAGAATCACAAGGCCCGCAGGGTATCATGGCACCCTGGCTGAGAATCACTGAGCTAAGCAATAGGAAGAGATCACCAGGGGAGAACCTTTATGGTAATTGGATAGTTCAGGGAAGAGGCACTAATATATTACCTTAAAACATTTTTGATCTTTTTTGGCTTAATAAAAGCAATCCTTTGAACACTTCAGACCTACCCCTGTGGCAAATACTTCCCCATTTCGTTCATAGGCCAAGGCTGTAACTACAGTGGTGTGAGGCTTGAAAGCTTGTTTCAGCCGCATCTCTGCCTTCTTTATGTTCATTCGTCCTGCAATGATGGTGAGTCCTTGGGGATCATAGATTTCAATAATGCGAACAACGCCATCCTCGAACCCAACAGCAATGAGACCTCCTTTAGGATTTACCTGGGAGTAGACAGAGGAAAAAGGATAGATACTAGATTGAGAGGAAAAGGGCAGTGAAGTCTGCAACTTCAGACAAAAGATAAGCAGCTCTGTGACATGCTGTTCTGGAATTAACATAGAACCTGTTTTATAGATCACTCCACATTTCTATTGTCTGAGCATATACAAACTGTTCCTATACAGGGGAAATGTTTTAAAATTAATTATAAAGGCCTATCAGTATTAGGGCAATGTTACTTGGTACTAGGAAGGTGTACAATTACTATTAGGACAGCAGAAATTGGAAAAATTAGAAGGAACATGCTTAGAGTTCACGGGACAATTACTTTAGATATACCAGTGACTTTTGGTATATTTATTGAGGAGGAGAGTGAAATCCAAAGGGAGTGCTACCCCTACATTCAGTCTAATGAGCAACAGTTGTCACAGTATTTTGAACAAGACAGGTTTTTAAGATGATACTGATGAAGAGTTAAAACAATATTATCAGGAAGGAAAAAGGCAAGGATAACTATACTTAAATGGCAGCTTTTTCATGAAAAGCTAGCATCTTCTAATGCTATGGCAAACCTTGGGTAAGGTCTCATTGTGAATGCCAGATCAAGAAAACAGCCATAAGAGGATCATTCAAATTAGTTTAGTTACAAATCCTCTCCTTTTACAAATACTATCCTCAGTGGTGATGCGTAGGGGGTGCACGGCAGTGCCCATGCACCCCCTGAGAACCCTGGTGCACCCCCTCACAGCCAGCACTCCCTGCTTAGGTGATGGGCAGTGGGGCAGGCAGGAATGCCAGTGCCCCCCCTGCGAGCACTGGCTGGAGAGTGGGGGCACCAGGAGAAGCACCACTGGCACTTCCGGGTGCCCCGCTTGATCGGCTGTGGAGGGACCGAACCCCAGTTGGCGAGATCAGCTGTGGGGTTGCTGACTAGCTGGTGGGGGATATGTACCCCCCCAACACAGGAGGCACCAATCACCCATGACTATCCTGCTGCAGAGTAAATTAGTTCACTCCAGCCTAGTAGGGGTGCATGTGTAGATGTGCAACATTTACTGTGCAACAAATTAGTCAACTGCACAGTTGGACTAATTCCAGATGTAGACACGTCTACACCTCATGTAGACATGTTCACATACTGCAATAAATCCCAGCACGATTTCTCTAAGAAGCATGGCACAAAGAACTTGCTTTTCTACATGTTTGCAAGTTCCCAGTTGAAAGGTTATCATCATAAAATAACCTCACTCGAAGCAATTCATGAAGCCCAAAGTGGGCTGGTAGTTTCTTTAAAGCCATGAGTAATGTACATTTGTGATTTCTGAATCCACATGAACATCCTGCAGTAGGGTAAACTTACCACACGAGGGGCCCAAGTAAGTGCTGTTCCTCCCTGTTTAAATTTAATCTCAGTCAAGAGACAATTGCTGATGAAATCATAGATACGCACTGAGCCTGTGTAGGACAATTAAGGAAGGAAGTGGAAAGGAGACAAGTTATTGCAGACATTTTTGAAAGATGACTTATTTTAAGATTGGTGGGGAAAACTCTGAGGCATCCTAATGAAAACCTGGAGAGAAAGTCTGCATCTACATTAGGCGATTAATGCATGAGACAGCAGGGCTTGGGCCCAGGGGCCCCCAGATGCCTGGGTTTCCACCCCCACCATGCCTGGGTTTCCTTGGAAGTGGCAGGTTTCCCCTTGTAGGCAGGCAGCAGTCCAACCTGCAAAGGGTCCTGATTGAGTCTTGGGGCATGGCCAGGAGCACACCTAGGCAGCACTCTGCAGGTAAGTCTAATGCAGGGAAGGGGCATGGCAGGGGCAGAACACAGCCCCCATGGGGAGGGAGGAAGTGGGGCTGGGGTGGAGGTAGGGGGACCTGGAGCCAGGAATGAGATACAGACATGAGCAGCTCATGAAGGGGGTACAGAGAGGAGGGGGGCAACTCTCTGCCACTGCACACATCCTCCAGGGAAGGCATGGGGTGGGCATGGGCCCCCCCATATTTGTGCATGGGATAGATGCAGGCTGCACACTGTGGGCTTGGGGTTCTCTGCTGCCTTTGCCCCAAGGGCCCGGCACACTGTTACCACCCAGCAACAGTGGGGGTGGCAAGTTGTGCTTCCAGATGTTGGATGGGTAGGGGGTGCGTGGCCAGCACAGGTCCCCCAGTGCATCCAGTGCTAGCAATGCGTGTGGAGCTACCAGGCCATAGTGAAGCTGCAGCAGCTGGCAGTGCATGCTGAAGTGTGCAACTTCTTGCCTGCCTGCTGCCACCACCTAGCCTGCGAGGAGGTGCTGAACTGGTTCAATGTGGAGGCACACATGAGGGAGCGCTGCAAGGTGTGGGCTGAGGGGCCATGCAAACATGGCTGTGGCTTGGTGCTGACCCACAGCAAGAGCCGGGCCAGTGGCCACTGCTGCATGACAGCACTGCAGGGCTATGGTGCCAGGCTGCAGACACAGTTGACCACACTGGAAAAGGAGCTGAAGAAGGCAGCACTGCAATGCAGACCCCACATCCCACTGCCATGCCCTGTGCCCCTGTGCCCAGGGCTTTGCTCCCTGCTACCCCCCAGGTCGAATATGACCCATCCACCACCACCCTCTGAGTGCGACCCCTCAGCCAATCTGCAATCCATCTGATGGTGTAGGCATCAATGCCACAGTCGCCTATTTTTTTAATGAGGATGGGGTGGGAGACTGTGTCAAAG